TTTCCTAACTTTTGGACACTAATATGTCTGTTTATGTTAATTATAGGCTTTGGACTATACCTGTCTAAACAAAAGTATCAAATTTGTCCAAACCGACCTAATACATCTCAAATAGAACTTCAAGAGGTCCAACTACCCTCGTAGACGATGGAGTCGAATCTTCGGAGGTGTTATGTGGCCAGTTCCCACGAATTCCGCTACATCAGCAGCACTTATGTGACTAGTTCCCATAGATTCCGCTGGATCAGCAGAATAGGCATACCGCCAATGTTAAGGTCATAAAGGGGCATCATGTCTTCCAGTTGGAGATATACATTATGTTAAGTCAGTCAGAGTAAAGACATACTGAAGTAAACTTGTAATTAGTTAAGTAATAAAGATAATTTTTAAAAACGGTTTGTTCATAGTCAAACAGTTAACTCACGTGAGTGGTGGAAAAGGGGACTTTATTGAATAAATTCGTCGCTTTGTTTTGAATTGCGTTTCAGATCAGTTGGAAACAGTGGCGACTTGTGCGAAAGCGCCCCTAAAAAATTATGTAATTTTATTTAATAATTTTACATTTTACCAAACCCGAAGAGCTGCAGGCGAAATGCGAACCACCAAATAAAGACCAAATGCTCTGTGCGCTCTTTCATTCACCCGCGCTACGCACCGCTTCCCCCTTCTCCTGTTAAAACAACGCCCTGATTGAAGCGGAAAGTTCGCTGCATTTAACCCAGCGTCAATTTTTTATGATTTCTGATTTGTTCAAACTGATTCATTAATTTTTCTGTAAGTCTTGCCTGCTCAATTTATTCTACGGTAAATTTGCCAGCGATTCCTTGCTGGAAGTTTTCGCATAGAAATGTCCTTGCTCGTTACATAAGGACAAAATAAAACATCGAATTATAAAGACACTAATGTATTATCTGCAAGCACTGCATAAAGCTGAAAGAAGGTCGTTTACACATTTTGACACAGTTGCAATCTATATAGTAACCTATTATAAATTAAAAACTTTACGAAACGTACTGATAATTATGGTTTAAAATACACTAAAAAAATCACAATATAACAACTTAAAGGATATTTAGAAAATGTCAGAGCACCGTAATTAAAAAAGTTCCTTTCGTAATAGAAAAATTCCTTTTATATGTACACATGTTTCTGCGATATGGTTTTTGCGCAAAATTTTGACTGCTCGATCCATTACACTAACATTATTTAAATACTTGGTAGGAAGATGTTTTGCTGGCAATGCGTCGAGAAACAGGCTAAAAACAGGGTGACGATTAAAAAAAATTTTCTTAATTTGTACAAAACGGCTAACATAAAGTTAATCTAATATTTACATGAGACGTATACAATTACTTTTAAGCCAAATGCATTTAAGCCCTGTTTGTACTGTAATCATCAGCCTTGCCATTTTAACTTACAAAAAAACCTAGTAAAATGCACAAAATATAACAGCCCATCTTGTTTTCAGGGGAAAATCCAAAACATAGTCAACCCAATGGATATGTTTTGTGGCTTTTCCTTAACATTCATGGCTTTAGCACCGTCTTATCCATTTGCCGAAAACAGTAAGAGGTTCTTGGCCAATTCGTGTTAAATATTTAGGCAAACTAAACGATTGCTGCGAGGTGAACCCTACATTGTAAAAATAAAATAGTAAATAAGATGTACAGCAACGCAATTACAACAGAATTCTTTAGATTGTCGCTTAATCAACAGCACTATAGTGGCAATTTATCAGATAACCCATTTAATGTAAATTATAAATTGCCTCAATTTCCTCATCCCGGTAGCACTCCATTTCAGAGACTAGCACATATCAATCTTCATCATTGACCCTCCAGATGAATTTTCAAATTGTACAACCACCCTCTGACTCAGTCTGTGATAATCAAAGTTTCCTTCAAAGCACCCAGTTGCTCTTCGCCCAGCTTGATTTTATCGTTAATTTCCTTCGAGTCCATAATCAGCTTAGCTTTCATGTTGATGAAGTGATCGTAATCCGCATATTCTTCCGAGTTGAGGTATTTGTATAGAATATTGGAAACGCTGATGCTTCGCTTGTCTATGCAATCTTTCAGTTTCTTCGCTTCTTCCAACTGGTCTTGCAGTTTGTCTCGTTTGGATTCCAAGATTCTCTGGAAAATAAAGCGAGCGTTAAATCTGAAAATGGAAAACGCAGCAGAATCTTACCCGTTCTGGATGGTCGTCTGTCATGTTCATGAGCGCGTTCTCTGCCCTAGCAAGTCTTCCACTCAAACCCAACAAAAGACTGGTGATTTTTCCAACTTCTTCTATATGCAACCGGAACTTGGACACCTCATGAGGACTAGCCACTCGATTTATGTAGTTTTCCACGTTCACTCCCAGCTCATCGTTCACTTTGCATTCATCTGATACAATCAGGGCTTCTCCTCGTAGCACTTCCAGTTTCTTATCCAGCCGATTAACAAGTTCTTCCTAAAAAATCACCCAATCATTTGATCCGTGATCGAACGGTTCCCATTGATAAATTTACCTTCTTTTGACTTAAATCTTTGGTGTCTTTAACAGCATGGCATTGATTCATGTCCTGACTGTATCGGTTCAAAAATTTTGCTTTCGGTTCCGATGTGGTGAAGTAAGCAGATGAACAAGACAACGGTTTGGTTGGTTCGGGTGATTTTGGCAAACTGAAACATGATACAAACGAAATTAAATCTATAAAAAATCAGGTTTTGGTCTCTTGAGGGTTTTTGAAGCTTTGAGGAAAAACGGTTTTGTGCAACTCTCCAAGCCGGTTCGTACAAAAAATTACCCTTTAAAAACACCCTGTAGAATCGCACCTCAGGAAGGATGTGAGTGAAGTTTACTTAAATCCCAAATGTCCCCTAATTGCCTCAAAAATGTGGGTATTATCAAGGAAAAGCTCCAAGAGTTTTGCCATTTGGAAAATCCTAGAATCCTAGAGAAAGAATTAGGCCTGGGTAACTCAGTATTTTTTTAGGAGTTGGCGCAGTGCCGCGCAAATCGCTTGGTGCCCCAACCCAACGCACCGGAGCAGTAAATTAGTTCCGTTGCTGGAAAAATGTTGATGACTTTTTACTTATTTTAAGGGCCATTTACTAATATTTTTAAAATTTCTTCAAAATTTCAGAATTTTCCAGTTTTAGCCAAGTTAATATTTCTTCTAAACGCTCGATCTTCTAAAGTTTCTCTTAAAAATGCTGACAATCTTAAGGTATTTTCCACGAAAAATTATGAAATAAATTTCGAATCCTTCGTCGCTTTGTAAAAGGTTTTGAAATAACTTTCCACGTTCGAGTTTGGAACAAAAACCAAATCATTTTCTATCAAAAAATGAACAGAATTAGCGAAAGTTTATAACAGATTATGTATTTGGAAATCTCGTCACCTCCATACATTTGAAGACTGTAGTTTGTTAAAAAATGTGGTTTTTTAGGTTTGACCGATTTTTTTTGCTTTACTTTCTACTCAAAAGCGCTTTATTTGGTAGAGTTTCACTTAAAAATACTTTCGAGACAAAAACGAAAATAAATTCTTCCCGTTTTTATCTGAAAAACCATTAAGGTTTTCTCCAAAACCAATCACAAAACTAGAAGTTTTTAATCGAAAACGCAAAAAACCATTATTTTTTATGATAATTTTTCAGCCAAAAATGACAACATAAACTTTTCTAGAAAATTCGCCTCATTAATCGGTTAGCAGGGAATTTTAGAAAACCCATTTCAACTTCGAATTTCGCATAAAAACCAAATAATTATTCAGTTTTTTACCGAAAGTAATTAGAATTGTCTTGAAAAAACAACCAGGGCAAAAGTTAAAAAAAAATGTGTGGAAAATTCGCCGCCCTCATCGCTCTGAAGATTTTTAAAGTTCCTTTTTTTAAAGCTTCTATTAAGCAATTCTTTCTTGGCAAAATTCGCATTATTTTTTAGTTTTACTTTAAATACTGACAATCTTCAGATATTTTCTGTGAAAAATTATAAGACGAATTTTATTGGAACACTCGCCTCCGTAACCGCTTTGTAACAATTTTTGGAAAGCTTTTTGCTACTTTGAGTTATGGACAAACCCCTAATAATTATTTCTGGGCCTTTTCTCAAAAATATTGCCCCGAACTGAAAAAGCGAAAGTTTACAATCATTTATTTGGAAAACTCTTAGAAACTGGGGTTTCTTCACTTTTGGGTCAATATTTCTAAACAACACCTTCTGGTAAACTGAATCTTTTATGCAAAAAAAATTAAGAGATCGACTTTTCAAGAAAACTAGTCGACTTCTTTCGACTCAGTTCGGTTGCTGGGAAAATCTGGATTACTTTTTTTAGTTGCTTGAACAAAGTAGTAAAACTACTCAGAAAAAATGTTGATGACCTTTTCTTTAAATGTGAAAATTCCAGTAACGGTTCTCCTAAAGCTTCAATAAATCACTTATAACTCATTAACCGATGAGTTATAACTCGTTAACTCAAGAGCGACAACAACTCAATAGCGCAACTCAACACAGTGTTACCCAGGCCTAGAAACAATTACGTTACCTCAATTTGTTGCTTGAAGGTTTCATGCCCGATGCGAAACTGGAGGATGGAGGTGGACTACTGCTAGGCGTGTTGTTTTTGCTTCGAAAGGGCGAATTGGCTGGTCGTGGCTTTAGAGTGACATCGACTTTGAAGAGCCCCTGTACATAATCTGTGGGCTTTTTGTGCTCAGGCCCAGGAACTGAAACACACTCCCACTTAGAACCAGCTCAGAAGCTTTACTCCGAAAAGTCTCACCTAAAAGATCTTTCAGTCTATCCGACGTAGGCAGGTGGTTGACGAAGTCTTGCGACAACTTCTCGCATTCGATTTCCTCCTGCAGCTTCTTCCTGATGGGCAGAGGAGTTGGAGGCAGTTCGTGCTTCTCCGTTTGAGAAGCTGCATCGCTCGTTGTGGTGTTCACTCTTAAAACCACTTCAGTCCTTTGGATCAGCTGAAGTCCCTCGATTACTTTCGGGTAATAGTCGGGCGTTTTAGGGGAGAGAGATCGTGCGGTTGGAGAGTCCAAAATTTTTGGTGAGGGAGCTGGCGAGTTACTGTTCTGAGTGGATTTGTTGGAAACATTCGCTGTCGTTGTGGAAGCACAGCTTGGAGAAGAACCTCGCAAAGGGGACAATTTTATAGGAGAACCCACTGGGGAGAGGCAGGCTTTGATCAAAGGCGGTTCCCTAGCGATTGCCTGAGGAGACGTTCTGGTACTTATACTACTAGTACTAACAGGCCTGTTTGTTGGTGTTGACGTGATCGGGGGTGAGGGCCGGAGACTCAGCGACGAGGAACTTACAGGAGAAACCGAGTATGAAGGAGAAGACAGAGTCGTGGTCCTTAATGGGGTGAATGGTGAGCTTCTGGAAGGGCTTTTCGGTGGAGAACAGGGGGGCGACTTAACCGGAGATTTCTTCACCACCCCATCGCCGTTAATCGAAGAAAAACTTAAGTGCGTAGGCCGTTTATACGGGCTCTGCGGAGATCTGGGGATCATCTTGGCATTCACAGGCAGCACATCAGGTAGCACCGAATTGGACGTCCTAATTTCCTCCAGTTTACTATCACATTTGACCTCCTTGAAACTTGCACCATTTTTGCTCTTGCTGTTCATCGAAGGCTTTCGCAGGATACTGCTGCTGCTCTTCACTCCCTCACGCGCTTGGCGGATCAGCGGCCATACAGTTTCCCTACTATTCGTCTTCTGCGGCTCACTGATCACTTCAGGAGTGATGGCATGTCCATTGGGCGACATCGTGCGTTTGTAGCTTCCAGTTTCAGAGTCGGAAACGATCAGCTCCCGGTCTCTTCTCGAAGCCAGATAGGATGCTTTCGATTGGCTCCTGAAACAAAAATCTTCGTTTGCTTAACAAATTAAACGCAAAAGTTTATCGTTTCAAAATTTTATTGCAAACATTTTTGTCGTCGAAAGCTGCAAAGGTTTGCAAAATTTCATTTGGTTCTCCGAATTGGCCTCCACCTTCACCCGATTTGGGTCCACGGGGTTATTTTTGAAGATTTTATGGAAATATAGCCGAATGGAAATATTAGTATATTATTAGAGGGTTTTAGGACCCTTAATATATCCAGGCGGGTTTTGTGTTTTTCGCAAAACGCAGCAGAGTTAGGTACAGACGATCTTAAGATTTTGGGATGTTAAAATATGTTTTAGTTCTCTTGCTCGCATAAAATCAACGCTGTTTTCCAAATAAACCAATTCAATTCGATTAAATTTTTCACTTTCTATGACTGCTTTTAATAATCTTCATAGGTTAACAAATGATTGAATCTTGCGCAAAGACAAACATCAATCAAAGCCGCTTTCGCAAAACTAATTTGAGGGAACAACACGATTTAGAAAACAGCGAATAAATAAAATAAAATGCAAATTTCGCGCAACAAAAACGATCATAAACTCTCAACAACGCTGTTTAATCTGTTGTATAAGTTGAGTCAAATAATTGAAAAGCAGAAGAATGATGAACAAATAAATTTAATAGTTCTTAATGTGGAATTAAATTTTGGATCTTTTGTTGGCATAAAATACAGCGTGTGTTTCAAATAAACCTGGATTGAATCAGTGCCGTTATCGCAAAATTGATTTGTAGGAAAAACAGGATTTAGAAAACTGCAAATAAAAAACAAACACTTTACCAATGCTGCAAATTTCGCGCAAAACTCGACCCCAAACGCTAACCGAATCTGTTTTGTATAAATCGGCTCCAATTCCTGTTTAATCCAAATGGGTTTTTCTTAAGCAGCCGCCCATAAATATCGCTCATAAGTCAATTTAATTTCAGATTAATTCCGTATGTATGCACTATGTATTTTGTACGAAACGAAGCATGAAAGAATGTTGCATATTATAAATAGTTTAATGTTTTCTATCATCACCGCACGGATGATTAGGGGCAGGCATTAGCGTGCCATTTCCAATGCTCGAAAAAATCAGCTCAGTTATTCGGTTGCATCAAAGACGGTTGTATTATGCGAAAAACTTGCAAATCTTCATTAATTAATTCCTGTTGCTGTTTTCATTTATTTCCCAATTGAACTGAACTCATTTTGTTACTTTGTTACAAATAAGGTTTGTTTCGTATGCTTGTTAAATAATTTACTTAAAAAACTGGGTGAAGGTGAATGCTTTAGCAAAAAAAGTGTTTTTATTTGTGCCTGAAACTGACAAGTAGTACGCCAATGATGTAACTATGTTCTTCAAGATTCCTCGGAGAAAATTACGTGTAATGCAAAAAAAGGAAAGAAAGTGGTCAATCTACTCCGATGAATGCTGTTATTTCAAAACATTTCCTTTTTACGTTGAGCAACAGCCATAACGATGCAGATGATCGTAATAAATAATGACTTTTCCTCGAGCCTTCGGTGTCGTCTAATAACACCATCTTTCCAGATGATATATTGGGATTCTAATTTAATTATACGGGTAAAGTGTGGTTATTATAAAGATATATTATCAGATATATTTACGGTGTCTGTTTAGCTACCACTTCCTTAACAGTTAATTGAAACTACTATGATTTCATTACTTGGTTTTACAGTAATTATTTGCTCAGCCAGTATCTTTGTTGGAATGTTCCTTTTTCTGGAAGATAATTATGAAATTTACATAAATTTTCAATCAAAAGGTTCTGATGATAGCGTCATAGTGTCTTATCGTAACAGAAGCTCGACAACTTTCTCTTTGTCCATCATTTGCTTACATTGAGGGTCTGAATGAAATGTCTATCAATTTTAATTTATTTTCCTGACTGAATTTATATTCTTTTTTTTATATCGTTTATTTGATAACGTTTCGGCGAGACAACAGCGCCATCATCAGATTTAAAATTCATACAAACTCATAATTGGGAAATATTAGATTCTTTTAGGTCTTTGCTGTCTTGAAACCTCAAATTTGTTCGAATTATTGTCTGC